TAAAATATCTGGAACGCGTTAAGGAGAATCGATTTTAATCAAACGCGACTGTTCGGTCGTGTTCGATTTTTCGCAAAAGAAGACGCAAGCGTTAAATCGAGACCAATCTATTACAAGACACTATTGAAGACGTATTATTTCGCGCAGACAGGATAACCGTTGGGCATTGTGTTCTTATGTATGTTACGAGTTAATGGACGCGAACGCATTTGTAAATTAGTGTGAATATAGTGTACCGAAATCACGCAACGGCCCATAATCGTTAAATAAAATAGTCAAATGGTTTTTATGTATACGCGTTGATGTAAGTACCTAATCATAGACGTATCGCATATATATATATATATAATAAAACGTTTTTGTATATATTGTATATGAAATGAGTTTTGAGTGGTGACACTTAAAGAACAACGTTATTTATGTATGTATTTGAAGTAGTCTCGCAAACAGTTTTAGGATATTGGAGTACTCCCTGAGACCTTTTCAATTTGTTTTATAATAACGATGCGATGCGCCAGTGTACGTAGTGTATCGCTTAAAAAAATATATAACAATCATAGTAATAATAATAATAATAATAATAATAATAATAATGTAATTTGAGACTATTATTGATGAACATCATAACTTCACGCTGTCGAATCAATATAAATATCCATAAGCTATCGCGGAAAATGATTTAATCGAGTGTACTATACATACACTTTGATGTATTATATATATATATATATATATGTATTCTACGTCCATAAATGATAGTATGTAGGTAGATAAACACAACCGCACAAGTGATACGTGTATTACTGCAGGATTTGATTACGATTGGACCGTAAAACAACGGTTAGAATTATACTACTTTTATTCACATGTTTGTAGAATATCATACGTATAAGTATACGTACACGGCCGGCAAGGATAATACCATTATGTAAAGCGGATCTGTAGTTCGTCTGTTAGATAGGCGATTTGGATGTTAGAAGATATAATAACAAAACGACTGTAGAAAATCAATCCAAATACGTACATTTGATTGGTTAAATCGTAAGTATTTTCGATTAGTATTCAGTTGATTAGTGCGTAACTATTCATATAGACGATGGCTAGCCGTTATTATTATTTAATTCAATTGCCATATTCACTTCAGGAATAATATATGTCAATGTTTATAATTATAAAGAACAGTCCTTTATAAACAGTTCTATCAAATCCAGTAAATATACGTATATATTATTTGATACGATACACGCTCGATACGTATGATACGAATGCATTTTCATGCAATACAATTATTGGAGGTCTACCATTTGAATAACATCAAAGCTAGTTCGTATTATTTTTAATTATTTTTAATTCATTTTCGTTTATTTCTACACACTTTTATGTAAATGTGCTATTTAAAAATCAAAATTTGCAACACTTTTTTGAGTAACTAGTTGATAATAATTAAATACATAATATATACCTTTTTTTTTATTACACATATCTGACCCGTGCTATAGAAATAATATACATGCCTACATAAAAATAAAAAAAATATTTTTATTGAAAATTGATATAAATGTATATAATTATATTATATTATATTATATTATATATATTATATTATATTATATATATTATCTATCTCCGTTTTATTTTTATTTGAAATAAATAAAAGAAAAAAAATCAAGACGTGTCATCACGTAACTTCAAATCCCAGACAATCACTCATCCGGAATTTAGAATTGTTTGGCACGGTTAAAACATTGACGTATAAGGCAATTGGCTAAATATTTTCTACTGCTATAGAGTTTACACATTGATTTGGGTTTTAATTTAATTATTTTACGAAAAAACTATAAAAAAAAATAAAATTACTAGAAGTAAATACATGGTTTCTCAAGTTAAATAAGTGCCTAATCAAAAATATTAACATAGCTAACCTATTTATAGTATACCAGGTACTATTGTTTTGTAATTTAAAATATATATTTACATATTAATCGTAAATTACTCTTAATAAATAATTGATAAAAACAATAAAAGGTTTAGTTTGTGAAAAGCAACTGATAATATCTTATAATGTGAAATAAATTGTGAAATCAGTAGATATCTTTCGCATTAAAATATATATTTTATGTTCCATAAAATTACGTATGAGGATAAGTTGTTATAACATACACTATTGTTGTAATGCTCAGTAATGAAAACATATTTTTCACAAGGATCTTGATTTAAAAATGTTGGACACCTGAATTATTTCCGATGTCTTAAAGTGTAGATACTTAAGACAATTTTTCATATGATATTATGTGTTATTATTGTTAGTTGTTTTAAAATAAAAATCGACTATTGAATATTATGATAAGGAGCAAGCTAATACAATTACGTCGAAGACCGATACCGTAATATTTATTACTTAATATATAGTTTTATTAATCTAATTGTTTAGATTATTTGCATTAAAAATTATAATAATCATTCAGTTTTTTCATTTATAAGTGTATATCATGAGGGTTTACTGAATTTAAATAAGCAAAATTTATTTTTGATCTATGAAGTCGAAATTGGAATAAACATATATTTTGGCTTTGAAGTTAAGTTATAAATTTACATTATAAAAAGCAAAAATAAAAATCAATTGAGTTATTTAATAGTCCACATATATATTCGCTGTTTTAAAATATTATAAAACTCAATCATCACAAGATCATCAATACATTACAAATTACTTTCAGTGACGGTCATATTTTTTATTATGGTATACATAATTGTATTTCTTTAAATTTAATTATTATTTAATATTTATCAAATAATTTTTATTATATTATAGTCAGTTTGAAAAGGTTTATTTTCCCATTATATTTCATGGCTTCATGGCATAATTAACTATTTTAAGTATGAAATTATTTGTAACGCTATACATGTATTATAAAAGATATTATTTTTTTTAAACAAACCCGTCATTCAATGGTGCAAGGTTACAAATCGATTTGTATTATAACTCCATGGTACTGTACCTTTTCCAAAGATTCATATTGTTCATCATATTTTCCATCGATACAAAATGAAATACTCGGAGTATGACATATGAATGAAGTACAATTATTTAATTTTGAATGAGAAATTATTTTATTACCTAATGGAAATCATATTCATTCAAATAACACCGAGGAAAATATAAAATATATTCAGGAAAATGATGTGTCTTTTACCTATGCATTTTCAATTTAAAATTGGTGATTATTAGCCAAGATTAGTAAAGCTGATTTGATTATTTTATTATTTAATAAATTACATTTTGAATGTTATAATATTAAGAATTTTTTTTTATTAAAATTGCGAAGTATACTTTAAAGAAAAATAAAAAAAAAAAAATAAAAAAAATATATTGTTTGTTTTTATGGTTTTTATAATAATTATTTTAATTTTATTAATTTTAATGAGGCATTCCCAAATTAATTACACAATTACTAATATTTAATTACTCATTAGGTAAATATACTGCATTACGCGTTAGTCATTACTCATTACACAATTTACTGTGTCAAAGCCAAACACGAAAAACTACCTTCATTATTATTTTTACATATTTGAATGATCTTATCTAAGAATTTAAATTTTAAATTAAAATAATAAATTGTCAGTACCTTTATAAGAAAAACAACATGAATTTAATAAATAAAAAAATTTGCAAATAATTCGTTTGTATTTATTTTTCAAATATTATATCTTCTACACAAGTAGGTAAATTCTATATACTTTGAGTTTACCTACTATGAATAATGAGTGTGAATGTCAAATAATCAACATTCACGTTTTAGTGAAGTGTGCAATGAGTTTCCAGGTATAACACGCATTTGTGATTAGATTCGTCAAGGTAACATAACGTGTAATGTATACACACCGTATCTACCTATATACACATATATATGATATCATCGTTGAAAGCAAATCTTAGGATAAAATATATATCTAAATAACACGTTACGTTAAAATATATTCGTGGTATAAAAAATGTATAACACTGCATTAGCTAACTAAATTGTAGATTTAAATAATATTTATATTATAACATATTAAATATAGTTTTTAATGCAGAGCAGTATTTAATTTAATCAGTCGTAGTAGCTTTATTTATTTCATTAGTAAGCCCCATTTGGTGTAATATATTGTTTTGTTGATTATTTTCTTCGTTAAAACAAGTTTCCCCTATATAAATACATGTACACGAGAACTCTAATAGTATTAATTAAAATTTGAAGGACGAATTGTATATATTTAAAGGTACACAATAAAATTTATTTGAAAAAAGAAAATAAAAACCAACTTATTAATACCGAAATTATTATTATTAAAGCAAAACAATTACTACGGTGAACGTTTAAATTATGTATTTACGAATGTATATTTATTTGTTAATATATGGAAATATCGGTGTAACTGCTACGAATAATTTCTTAAGATCCGATTTATTAAAAAAAAAAAAGTAGGAAACATCACAGTATATTACTAGCTAATTCAATAATGTATATTATTTCGTAAATATAATTCGTTTTGGCATATATATGCAACCAGATCAACACCCGAACACGACGATCAACAGTATAGTTAGTATAGTAGATATGTAAACACATGACTGACTAGCGTTTGACTTCAGGACTTGATTTATGTTATCTCATATTCGATTGATGGAAATCATTAAACCGTAGCATTTTAACGAATAGCTTTAGAGAGACTTTAACGATGGTACCCGAAAATCGCGACCAAAACAATAACCATATTTATAATATTGTGGTACAACAGACTCTCGTCGAATTCGCCGGTCCTTCGAGGTGCGTTATGAATCGCGGTCACGTTCAAATTTCCATTCGTACCCGATAGACTGATATAGTAAATTCAGTACCCACGGATTTGACTTTTTTCTCGCTGTCGCCTCTAGAAACCCGACGTAACGACGAAAATCCACTGTACGTATACAACAACGCGGCGCCATAAGCACGATATCGATATGGACTTACTGGTATTTCATTCGTACAATCATTTCAGACGTCGATCGTGCACTCGTATAATACAATCTTTCGCGCACTGCAGAAACGGGGGTGAACACCGATGAAAAAATATTTACGAATTCTTGTTTCGACAAAAATAGTAAAAAATAAATTTTAAACAAGAAAATATCGTAACAATTATTTGTTGCACTCGTAAAACGACACCGATACACGTATGAGGACGTGGTGTGCACAGCGGACAGGTGTCGTTCACGCGCGTCCTCGACGACGACTGCGGGAGCAGCAACGTGTATTCGGCCGTTAAGAAAACGCGTTGAACGACGACGATGGCCCGACCGTGATTCGCGTCGCACTGCTGGAGCGCGAGACTCATTCTGAATAAAAAAAAAAACAACGTTAAAAACGCACTCATCGGCCACCGCGTGCGTATAAACGACACGACTACCATTTCTCGACCGACTCCCACTACACGTACACCCGCGTGATCCATTTCGTTCTATGCGCTCACTTTTTACCGCATGAGCTGACGTAAAATACCGTACAATATACACGCTGCACCCTCCCTTCCCCTGCCCACTACGACGGCTCTGATTGATAGCAAAATCTATCAAAAGTCAAAACAAATATCCGATGATTGTGCTCCGTTAACCAGTACAGGTTAGGTTAGGTTAGCTATGGGTCCAGCTGGAGTCCGGCGAATAAATAAATATTTTAATTGTTTAACAAACGAGGTCCGGAGAAATGCGATTTATTTTGTTACGAGACAACTATTTATTTATTTACATTTAATACTCAGGTTACTTCTTATCTTATTGTTCTTTATGTGATTTATATTTTTATATTGTACATGCTATTTATATTTTAAATGTTGTAACAAATTAAGCCGGATTATTTACACTGTAACATATAGCTAACCCTAAATGTCGGACAGTTCGTTTTAATAAAAATTATGTGTCTCTCTTGATTTCGCTAAATCAAATACAATATTCGTTTTTTTTTTCATTATTCATCATATAATATACTAAAAATATGTAATTAATGCATATAAGTAAGATATGTTTATGGTCCAGTTATCTGCTTTACACGGTCCTGATTTGGATCGCAGAATGGTAGTTGCCGATAGCTGCATAATGCAATAGTCGCCAACCCATGGATTGTGGTTGACTAATCAATCTTTAGAGACATTTTGATAGATTAAAATATTAATTAATTTTAACATTATAAACTTACAAATTAATCTGATGTTGTTGATGTTATAAATGATGCAATTTTTTCTATGGTTACACTTTAATCTAATAGTACAAATAAATAGAAGTCGATCACCATATAATTAATACTTTGAACGCAGATTATTTATTAAAAATCGTTGGTGAACCTTGAAGTTCAGTGCACCAGTGTCGTAATAAAAAATCAAAAAAATCTCTCGATTTTAACGGAAAATTGGGCAATTTTTAATTTTTGTCAATATTTGAATTTCCAGATGCACTGAACAATTTATTAAATTTAACTTACCACACTTATGTATAATACCACCAAAAATGTTGTCCAAGAATTTTGAAAACCGATCTTAACACTATTTTATTATTTATAACAACGTATTTAACCATAAATTATACCTACATAATATATACTTACATTCGTTGTTTTTATGTTATCCGTATTAATGCGTTGAATATGTTAGCTACATGCGGTTATTATTTATATTTTTAATTAATTAATTACATCATAGTAATTTTATATCTGCTTATCACGTAATGCAAGTAAATTCAATGTTATAGAATTATTTTAAAATCTTCTATGGAATTGAAGAGCCAATTTTCTTTTTTTTACGAAAGGTTAAATACCACAAAAAATAAATAAAATACAAGCTTGCGTACATTGTATACCAATTGTGTAGTCGACCGAGATCCCCAATCCATGGCTTATACATCCCGTTAATATTTACACATTTTTTTTATTTATTTATTTTTTGTATTTTATTTCAGCTCCACGTCCTATTTTGGTTCGACAAACTTTCTTGCAGGATGGGCTTTGTTTTCACCAGTCAAACCGGTACATTTATTTAAATATACGAATTGTTATTCCATTTCCGGGTAAATTACTTTTAAAAACGATTGTCTATTATTATCCGAAATTTTCCATATTTTTGTCATTATTGTTGAAATTTTCAAAACATTTTTTTCCTGTTACCATATCAATGCACGCTCGCCAGATGAATACGATGTTTTCGTTTTACGTTCGCCAACTATATTATAAATAAACATTTTTGCACCTTATACTGCAGCTTTAAATCGACTTGCAGACGAGATGTAGCAATGTCCTATACTCATTCAGCACTGTGATTTTTTTGTATTTGGAAATATCCTTATAACATCATACGTTTCAATATCGTTAAGCAAATATACGATTTCAAACGATAACGCTGCGTACACTGGCGGATTCCTTCGAGCAAACATTTTATTTCGTGTGTCTCCTAAAGAATCCAAATCATTTCGGTCGATCTTTACCTTTTGCCACCCGTTCTTACGTAGAATGTACAATGCACGTATTACGTACCGACGCAGTGCTATAATACGCGTATAGGTATACCGCCTAATAACTCGCGGTAATTTCTTCGCGATGTACCTACAAAAACATGTAATAGCGGTACGGCACGAGAAATCAAGTGAAATAACGCGATTTCGGCTTCACTATATTATTATACCGTGCATGTGCTTGTGTACACGTCGCTGGTCAATATAATATACCCTATGACGGAAATTTCAGCGCACACATTTTACGCGTTATTATCACGTTTCGATCATGACGAGTGCGGCGTGGCGTTGATCGTTTGTTCGTGCGTTGATCGTTCGGTCCGACGCTACATGTATTCATGCCGCATGTGTATACATATTATAATGCGGTGTACACGATGGGTCCCGTTCTACTTTATAATATTTGATCGAATCGATTTCGGCAGGCCACACGCCTTGGGATAACAGATAAAAAAAAATTTAAAAAAAAAAACCCGTCCTGTGTGACGTATTACTCATACGTATACATGTTATTAGGTATTTACACACGCGCGCATACGTGTACAGATATGCGTGTAAAATATAACGTAATGGTATCACGCGATCTTTATTCGATTATGATTAAACTAATATGCGCCACCCGCGATACACTGGACCCAGTGTTCACTTAATTATCCAACGCACAAGACTGCTAACCGCCGCTGCTACTGGTCTTCACAGTGTACACCGCTTGGATTGCGTTTAAAACGTTTTTTTTTTCGTCTCCTCCGACCATAAATAGATCTAAACGCATTTAGAAATCAGATACCTCCTTTTTTTTTCATTTTTAATGTGATATCGCGTGCGTAATATTCGTAGTTCGGCAGAAAAAAAAACAACATAATTTTGCGTACCACTATACTAGTAGTAAATATCGATAGCTGTTCTACGAGCATTCAGAGCGTAAAATAATTCATAAAGATTCTGTCCGATTTTGTAAACATTTTAACATCAATGTTTTGTGCAATGTACTGTGCGTCGATACTTATCATCTATTTACATATTTATTGTTAGATATTTTAATTTACGATTGGATTTAAATATTTTGATCATTAGGATCGACCGTTAGGAATTGTTGTTTAATCATATAACAAGTGTTTCAATCTTAGTTTCAGTTCGACATATATTTTTCAACTGTATTAAAAAAAAAATCGGTACAAACGGGTTTTTATTTTTCTGTCAACCTTAACACTTGGTGACACTTTAACATACTACACTGCCCTTAAACAACTAAAATAAACTAAACTTTACTTATTTTGATACGAAAAACATATAATAGGAAAGGATGGGCGTTAACGAGTATAGAAGTTTAAGTTAAGATAGTAGACTTTATTTTAACTTAACTAATTTTTTTTGGATTTTCATTAAATTATCTATTAACATACTAAATTTATTTTTTAATCAACGTCAAATTAACAAATTCATTTTTTATTTTAAGAAATAAGTCAAGTTGATTTATTTTGTTTTGCATTTCACTATTTTGGTTTATTTCGATTTCATGTCAAAAAATATTTATCGTGGATTGATTAAAGTTAAAAATGTTAAATATTTCGAATCACTCTATAATCTAAAAGAACCTGTATATATCAGAAAATATTTTATGATAAATTGGTTTTATATTGTTGATGTTATTAATTTTACAAATATCGAGTAATAATAATAATAAAGACATATACTCATATGGTACCTATATGATATATTATTGGTATCGACGATCAACAACGTACGACTTTGTCATTTTGAGAAAAAAATATATACATACACTAAAATATAAACAAAAATAAAAACCTTTAATCGATTTTACGATTTTCTGCGATAATATGTGGCTGTAATTTTATCAGTATTTAGTTTGAGCTATGCATTTTTGGTTTCACAGTAACAGCACTGATTATTTATTATTATTCAATTTTTCTGTAGTATGCACATTAATAATTAAAATATTAAAATTAAAAATTTTCATCACATTATTCAACAATTATTATCAGTAACAAACAATATTGAATTTAAAGGAAATGTATATTATTTTTCAATTGTATCTTATACTTTATTGTCTTTCAGTGTCAAAATATTTTGTTTTGCGTTTTTTTTTTAACGAAAAACTTCAATGAAATACTGTATGAAGTATAAGGACTATGGTAGGTAAATAATTTTATTTTATGTTGTTATGAAATAAAGTACGTTAACGTTGTATAAAAAAAAAATTAACTTTTAACTTAACTGAGATAACTAAAAATTATATTGACTTTTTCTTATTGATACATATTAATTGAACTGAGTTAAAAAAAAGGCATTAACTGACCCAACCTTGATAATAGGTATCTTATTCATATGTCATACCAATCAATAAACCAAATAATTTCTTATATAATCTAACGTACAAGACTGAACGGATGTCCCGTTAGTTTAGTTCAAACTTGTTTAGTTTAATTCAGTTTTTGATAGTATTGACATTATTTATACATATCAGTAAATTACCATGATCTATTCTCTAATAAGTTTTGTGATACCTAATATGAATGTGCAATTGTTAAATTGTGAATTATCAAATTCAAAATGTGCCCAAATTATATGAACTATAAAGTAAATATTAGTCTTTGCTTTTAAAATGTATACGACGGATTGAAGTAATTTTCGGGTATTTCAAAGATCGTCTTTTTTAGATATAATATTCAAATACATCACGGATTTGTTGATTATGAATATCATGTTCCTCACGTATACAACGCAAGAAATACATTACTCGTGATTGTTTACACAAGATAAAGATGTTTTTCTTTTCTCTATTACAGACTACTTCTATGGGCCTGTCACGAATTTTGTTTTCAATGCGC